CACTGCTGAAACGGGCATGAAAACATCAAAACCTGTTTGATTAATGACTCCAAGATTCACCAGGTAATCAAACTGTTTTCTATATTTTTCATCCTGCTTTAAACCCTCCTGTTTTGATAGTATTTCTGTCTCTTTCTTGCTTAGATATAAATTTTAGCCTTCTAAGGTCTGTTTTTATGTTCACTTCATTTACAATACATATTTTTTATATGTGTTAGTGGTTACGTGACACCCTATATAGATCAGAAATTTTTTTAAACACTTCATAATTCCCTAACTTGCCTTATGAACAGCAGTTTGTGGAAAACACATAAATGGCGTTAATAATTTTTATATGGTCATAGAACAGTCATAAATGGTAGCTCATGTCTTACCTTTTTCCTTGATTGCTCCAGCTTTTTTTTATCTACACTGTAAAAAATTCCAAATCAAATTACGGAATAAAATAAAAGCTCTTTGAGTGCATCATCCGTAAATTCCACTTTACCGTAAAATCCACTTATACCGCAATTTTTACAGTAAGATTTATTTAATTAGATTGTTCGTGTAATTTTACGGTAATTATTAGTATTAAAATTACGGTACTTCAGATTTTTCGTTCCTTAACAAGTTCCGGCCCAAACTTATTTTACGGTGAAAAGTATCGGTACTTTTTATCGTAATTTGATCGGGAATTTTTACAGTGTCGTTTTTCCTTAAAACCAAAGATTTGTTTTAAGTGACTGATTTACTGAATCTTAATAACACAGTGCTTTTAATACAGTTCTCAGAAGAGCTGTTTATACTCAGCTGACGTCGTCACTACCATTTTGAAACTGCCCGATGAGCATGGACATGAAACGAAATTAATTATCGCTACGATGCGATTAATGAAACTTTATAAAATATGTTTAATTTATACAAAGAAGAAATAAAATTAAATAAACACAACTATTCATCGTCAGGCTGATTTAGAGGACTAAACACTCACTACTCAATTGACTTAAATTTATAATGCTACCTTGATGTTTACTAACCTTATACTTGGTATAAAATATCCTCAACATTGAAGAAAATTCCGGATCAAACTACATTAAAAGGTGCCGGCACTCAAGCTGTCGGTACTTTTTACTGTGAAATCCATTTTTACAGGAACATGTTACGGAATAAAAAATCTGATATACTGTAATTTTCACAGTAATAGTTACCTCAAAATCACTGAATTCCTCTAATTAAATAAATATTCCGAAAATTACACCATAATAATTTACAGTAAAGATGAATTTTACCGTAAAAGGGTTTTTATGGATGATGCAGAGCCCGGCATTTATGTAGTAATTTGATCCGGAATTTTTTACAGTGTATGTGAACTCATTTTTGGCGCTGAAATCTTGCACGTAATCATAAATTTCACCTACTAATGGTGTAATAAAATATACTTAATATTGTAATTTGATCCTTAATTTTTATTGAGGAAGTTAGACTGAACGATTATAAGCATAGAGTCCAATTACCGTGTAGCTATCTACGTTATGCGTTCGTGGTTTTTATTCGCATGTAACGCAAATACACCCTCTCAGAAAAATTGGCTAAAAGTTGAACCATGATATGATGTAAATAGTTGCACTCTTGGTAAGCTGCTAACTTGAACCATGACTGCATTCATACTGATCTATAATATTACAAAATCAAGTTAGGCACGATAATGTGATTAAAGTAAATAAATAAAATGTAAGCAAATTTGAACAAAACTGGTTCGACACTCTCTAAAATTTTTGATTTTGTAGATGATAATTCACCGTGTCCATCACGAAAGTCCATCTATCTGAAGTCCATCACGAAATGGAGGTTGTCCAGTTATTTGATTTAGGAGTTTCCTTGCTTTTTGGGCCATGTTCAAAATTTAAAAGTTACTGAGATAATTGCTTCAAATCTACTTGTGGGGATAAGCTTTTCATCGAAATCATTGTATATACGTTAAGGTCACTGTGATTAATCGATTAATATTAATAATCGCTATAGCTATTAATAATAATAGTCACATTTATAACTTTAACCGAAATATATACATAAATATGCCTGATTTCCGGAAATTCATTAAAGAAATAACTTTTTAAATAAAATCTTAGAAACATTTTGCATTCATTTTCGCGTTCCCTACTCTAAAGGATGTTAAATTCATTATAAATATGCCAGTTAAAAAATAAATGATAATTATTTTTTTTTACTGTTACCAACTTTAATAACCTTTTTTGGTTACATAAATTAATTTTAACAATTTATATCATGCTTTAACATTTTGTCTAAATGACTAAATGATTGCAACTTTATAATCCAAGTCAAGTTATTTTTTTCCCTTTTTATACAATTGAAGTATAAACTAAAGAACTATTACAATTATGTTGTCTATAAAGCATTCTTTGTTTTATAATTAAAGGAATGTGCACTGTAAAAAGCAATCTGTTAAATTTATTCAAAATAACTGTCAGCTGGTGTGCCAGTATAAAACCCTTATTTCTCAAAAAAATGCGTTATTTCAAAACAGACGGTTGCTTTTTAAGCAGATATTATTATTTTGTTAAACTGACTCCATTATTTTAACAAAAAAAATTATAAAATAATTATGTCTGCATTGTGGTCGGAGGGAGCCGAGCTCAGCACTCGTACTACCAGTCGAGGCAGGGATTCGATCCTGTGTCCTCTCACTGGGAGAGCAAGTGCTCGGTCCCCTGAGCTGCTGCAGCTCTAGTTTCTCAGTATAAAGAAAAATGTTTAACTTATTTTGTTTTAAACTTTTTATTGAAATAATATTTTAGTGCAAAAACTTTTAAAACTATAACAACACACCCATATAAAAATGTTTGGTAACTTAACTTACTAAAAAATTATATCTAAAGAAGTATAATGATCAGGTGGAGTAACAATTTGGCTATAAAATCGAACAGCAGTTTTATTTATAAGATGTTCAAAATCATAAAATAATTTCTGATAAATAAGAGCAAGTATGGAAAATAATCGTAAATATGTTTGAAAAAAAAGGTGGAGTTATGGTACGTTAAGCAAAACTGCATGGCAAAAACTAGAATTTGAACTGTCGATTTTAATCTGTTTATGCTTGGGATAAAAAGTGGCAAAAACCGTTTTATCTATAAAACAGCTTTAAACCTTCAAATATACAAAGAATGTCTGTAAAAAGAATAGGAATATTTTATAGTGTGTTACTTAAACTTTACTTACTAGTATGCTATTTCCTTTTCTATTTAATTTAGCTTTTTGTGTTTTATCTTCCAAATATGGAATATTGGAATGTAATAGGCTAAAAATAATAGAATAGGTAATACTCTACTTTGAATAAGTGAAAAATAAATTGTAATTGAACGAGGACTTACGCTGTCATGCTACATTTCAATTATTGTATTGTGTGGTCTGAAAAAAGCAGTAATAATTTTATTTTGCTGTCGAACTTGAGTAAGAGAATAAAAGTATATAATAAGCACTTAAAATGCAGGAATATAACTATTAAATAAATTTAATTACATTCTCTCTGGTTTTACTTCCTGTTAGTTTTTTTCCCTNATTGTGTGGTCTGAAAAAAAGTAGTAATAATTTTATTCTGCTGTCGAACTTGAATAAGAGAATAAAAGTATATAATAAGCACTTAAAATGCAGGAATATAACTATTAAATAAATTTAATTACATTCTCTCTGGTTTTACTTCCTGTTAGTTTTTTCCCCTTTCTAGAAAACTAAAGTGTGAAAACTTTAAATTACACCTGCTTCAAATTAATTGAACTCGAGGTTTAGATTAACATTTTGAGATCATTATCTCTTGAAAATTTCAACATTACGTTAGAAGTTAGATTAAGAACTTTTTCTTTGTCCGGAATGAAATATTACGCAAAGACAAATGATTTCATCAAAATCATTTATCTTTGTGTAATATTTCATTCTGAGGTTAAATTTTTCAAACATTATTTTTTAGTTATTTTTTATAAAAAAAAAACGCACGTCATGCATATTTTTTCGTTATTAATCGTTAAAAATATTTCAAGTTTAATCGAAGTGTTTACCTTAAACATACACTGTAAAAAATGCCGGATCAAATTATTATATAAAGTAGCAAAGAGGTACTAAGGGTGCATCATCAGTAAAATATTATACAGTAGTTTTTTCGGTATTTAATTAGAACACAGTATTTGTTTCTAATAACTATATGCACTTTATATATTACTATATAAAGTACAGAGTATGTAATTATTTATTTAATTACAGTAATTCCCCAATGGTAATTATTACTATAAAAATTACAATACACCAGATTTTTTGTTCCTTAACATGATCCGGTAAAAATGGATTTCACAGTATAGCTTAGAACTTCCCGTTAAAATAAATCTAAACTATCTTTTGTTACGTTTTTGAGAATTAATTTGAAACTGTTGATAATTTAAAGGGAATTAATCAAAAAAATCTGTTTGAAGCTTCTAAAATATTAGTTTGTTTCGGATTTCTAATCGCACGTTTGAGCTTTATTTTAATTCTTTAATTAAAACAAATTAAATTCAAACACTAATTACCGACTAAACTAAATGAATATGTTCTTCCTTTTAACTACTATTTGATTTTTGAAAAGAATAAAAAACATTTGCTTGATGTGAAACCAGTCCTTTTTTAAATAAGGAGAATTCTCGTAATTCGCGAGACATGACAACATAGGTTTGCATGGGTTTTAAGTAACAAATTTTCGTTCAATAACAGAATTTTTTTTGATTTTGGTACTATTTTTAACAGGTTATTTGTCATTTCAAACCAGCGCAGAATTTCTAAAAAAAAAATCTCGATCGCAAACAGTTTTAATAAAAAATTATTATTTTTTACCCTACTTTTCTGCGTAAAGAAAATAAAACGTCAAAGATATGGAAATATTAAAAGTCTTCAGAATTGAATTAAAGAAAACTATGTTTATCTAGGATGTCTTTCTCACTGAATTGAAAATATTTTTAATTTTACTTTTTTTTTTACAGGTATCGTCTCCAGAAAAACGATGACAGTGTAGCGTTAGCTTAGATCCAGCCGACGCCTGAGGTCGTCCCACGCCCGAACGTGGCTGAGACGGTGGGTGAGGCCTCGGAAATGACCACCGACAGATAGGCAATACCAGTGGGCGGACGACGTACTTACATTCCTCCGAGCAACAACAAAAAAAAGAAAGACTTCGATAATTTTCGACGATAAAAGAAAAGAAAATATGCCCGCGAGCCTCCTTTTAACTTCGACTCCGACTCTGCGTGGGGTAACTCGCAACGAATCACTGCGCTCCGACTCCTCCGCTGCTTCGAACACCTCTCAAAGTTCTGCCACTGTCAACAAGAAAGTGAGCTTTAATAAGGCAGTCAGAGTTAAAAAGTATCCTCGCTCAAAGAAGGGCGATCCGGAATTTGGTGGTGCGGATGAGACAAACGGTGACAGCAATTCCGGAAAGCGTTTCTGGTTCAAAGTTTACAAAAACAAACATCGCCAATTGCCGGATCCTAACGAATACAGAAGGAGAAATGAGGTCATATATTATGGAAATGACGGAGATGCTAGTGGGTATGAGGATGACTCCATTAGCTACCATCCCAATCCTTCTGCTCTAAATTATCCGGTTTTCACTTCAGAGTGTGGCACTCAGACACCCAATCGGAAGACTGATACACCGTCGTCACGCACTGCACTTCTGGGAAACGAGTTCATTCCCCTCCACTCCAGTCAGATGCCCTCTGATCCACCAGAAGTAAGACGGAACTATGTAAAAAAGATTGTCAATCGATTCAACGAGGAAGCCGTGCTTCAAAGACAGAGATCGAACGAGGAAGGGACTAGATCTCCTCCCACATCACCTCCGGGATCCCCAAGACTTCACTCCACCCCTAAACATATACCGGTAGCACCACCACCTCCTCCTCCTATTCCACCTACAATGTACAGTTCCATCAATCTTCCACCTCCACCAGAAGGTATATTTTCAACATCTAGAACAAAGAAGAATCCCATTGTGAATGGGGTTAAAGTCATATTTGATGTGGATGGGGAGACTAAGAGTGACGAACACCATTCATCCCATTTCAATGACACTAACGGATACAAGAGAATGTCTCCGGAACATGGCATGAATGGCAGAAGATCATATAAGTCGGAAATTACGATTCCCGAAGACGATGAAACAGAAGTCAAAACTCCATATCCTACTCAGGATAAATTTCATTTTGGAGACTTAGGATATAACAACCAAATCGTGAAACGGGATGGTCGTTTAGATATTGCAAATGGTAGAGCAAACGGGGATGATGGATATGGATATTATTTTGATGATGACGATGATTATAGAAATAGAAAAAGTAAATATCACGTTGAAACTTTTGACAGTGGTAATCGACTACTTTTCGATACAGAAGATGTAAATACTGCAACTGCTCATACTGATAAGGGAGAATTCAAATCGACTGTTGGTGAGAAACACCAACTGTGGCAAAACAATAAACGTATAATTGTTTACGAAGAAAAATCTCCTACAATCATAAGAAGGAAAGCAAAATCTCAGAGTGACTTGTTAAATTCAGATGATACATTCCACCATGAGGATAAATTAGACAAAGGAGTTTCAACTGACGAACTTTTTACTAAAGACAATAAGGATACTTTGTCCAAAAAGCAAAAGGATTCATGGCTTCGCCATTTTCGATCAGCGACAAAAGATAAGGGAATTCAGTGCAATAAGATTCCATCTGATGAGCCCGAAGAGTTATATGGATTTGGAAAGTATAAGATTATTCGTCCAAGAAATGGTGTAGTGTCAACATTCAGCAACGTGCCAAAATTAGACAAAACAAAATCTAACCATACAGCAGTTCATCAAACCAATGGTTACAACTCCAAAGATAGTCCTAGCGTCATTTACAGTCAAGTGGATAAAACTAAAAAGAAGAAAAGTGGTGATAAGGAGAAGAAGAAAAATATATTCTCCGAAGATGGTAAAATTGGAAGCCTCTTTAAGTCGCGCTCTGAACCACTTTATATCGGTCCTCCTCCTAAAAATGCTCAACGAGGGGAAGATGATTTCGAAGGTAGTTATTATGAAGACGCTGGTGAACGCACCATTAAAACGTCCAAAAAAAGCTTTGGTTTTAAGCTAGGTGGTGTTGGAAAAGAAAATGATAGGAGAAACAGAAGTCCATACTATGAAGAAGACTGGTACAATGTTGATGGAGATGTTGAAGCTGTGGAGCGTCAAAAGAGAAGAGGCAAAAATCATCGAGATATAGCTGAAGTCCGTCAGGAGATTGCCGAAGAAGAAATATCAGACATCAGCAGTCTTAGCAATGGTGAGCACAAAAGAAACGGTGGGGGTGCTGGTTCCGTGATGAGGGAAGTGGATTACAAGAAGAGAGAGATTTCTTACGAAAATGTTCCACGCTCAGATGGAGAGAACAATTCTCATAACAACGTCAGTAGTGGTCTTTGGTATCGTGATGCTGACGAAGATTATCGCAGAGAAATGGCTCAAAGTGAAGTATCATATCCAGCTGGTGAGTCTGTGGGTAGTGACAGATTTTATACGGTGGATCGTAAGCAGAAAACAAACAAAAAACTTCCACCTCCTAGTCCTAGAGCTTACACTTTAGATCGTAGGCACTTAAAAAGTAAAGAAAAGCAAAAGACTGTGCCAAATACCACTGGTGTGAAAATTCTTGTAAATGGGAAAGAAGTTAAAGAAAAATCTGCAACCAAAAAATCAAAAAAGAGAGAAGAACCTTCATCGGTTCAAAGTGACCCATTAATTGTTAGGGGTGGTTTAGCTGCTGCTTACCAAGCAAGGCAAAGAGCAGCAGTAAAACGTAGCAACAGTTCTGTTTCAGGACTGAGTAATAGGTTTAGTGGCAGTACTCCTAACGTCCGACGCATTGTTGCTTCCTCTGAAATGTCAGCAGCCAGTTCTGAAAGTGATTCCACCAGACACCGGCGTCCTTTGGTCATGTACATTCCTGGGGTGAGTCACCCCGAAAAGTCACCAGATAAGGAGGACAGGGTGAGTAGTTCCATTGCCAGAAGTCAGTCAATGATGACCCCAACCCGTCCTCCTCGCATGATTAAAAGGGTTAATTTAAAGAACCACAAGGGATCTCGTTCTGAGTTATACCGAAATGGAGATATTTACGAAGAAGATGAAATCATGCCATTGGCTTCAGAAACGAGCAGAAAGAAGCCGCCAAAAGTGCCATCCAACTCCAAGAAACATAATGACATTAAAAGGAGTCATTCTATGCCAAAAGATACCAAATTCTCTTGGCTAAAATGGAAAATTAGAGGAAAACCTTCCAGAGAGCCTTAATTTTGTTCACTTTTGTACAGTTTTTGTTAACTCACTTTCTTCATATTTTAAATTGTGTTTATTGACCCCTAAGTGCTTGTGATAATACTGGATAGCTTTAAAGCGAATTTACAGTGTTATGATTGAATGTGCATCTGTTTGTGATAAGGTATGTTTATAGTTTTATTCTTGTTTTGAACATTTTTGAAAGAAAGAACAAAAAAAACTAACAATTCCCATTTTTAATATTTGTGATCCATGTGAGAGAACTAAATAATGTATTCATTCTTTTAATTCAAAACTAGTGTACGGGTATAACATAGAATTCTTAAGAATACAAAAATCATGGTTTCTTAGCATTGTCTAAAATTGCTTAAAAATACATCTTCATTTACGAGCTTATGGGTTGTTTTTGTTAATTTTTAAGAATTATGCAGTTTTTTAAGTGTTATCTTTTATTATTATTTCTTTTTTTCATTTTTCTCTTGATATTGGCATGAATTATATCTTATATTGAATATTAATTCCAGTTTCTTTTGTTGATTTTTTGTTTAAAGCAAGTTCTCTAAAAAATGCAAAAATACTTATTTTTTATGCATTTTAAAGGGTTCTAAAGCTTAAACCATTTAAATAATAATTCTTTTAAAGAGCTATCTTTACTCCAAATGCTTGAAGAATTTTTGCCTGAACTATCCTGTGATCTTTACTCCAAAGTTTCGGCTGACATTTTATTTCATAAAAATTTAATGTAAATCATTTTAATCTTCAATTTTAATACTTTCATGCCTTTAATGTTCTGTAACCTCAACAATAGCTTCATTTATTTCATAACTTAGTTCCTCTTAGCTTTGTAGTTTAAGCAACTGAAAATTTGTTTGAGTGTTTGTTTTTAAAAATAACTTTAAACAGTAATATTTAAAAAAAATTGAAGCTGATTCGTTTGTATTTTCTGTGGTTTCAATTGTTTTGTATATAAATGTATAGATACTTGAATGTAATATTTTTGTGCCAATAATTAATATTCGCTTAGTTTACCAATTTCACTTTTGGAAGCTGTTCACTAAATCAACTCGCGTCTGAAACTGTTGATGCCCTATTTGGAAATATTTTTGTATACTTATGCGAAATGTTTCATATTAGAATTAATAAAATGTTTGAAACATTGTTATATCTTTGAAATTTAGTAGTTAATTTATGGTTCTTCTTTAATTATATGTTAAGTATTTAATTTTTCTCAATTGTTTTCCTTAAGAAAATTATTTAAATCTAAATAATAAATGTTTTGCATTTTCTACATGCGGTTTCGAAATTTAGAGGATTTTAACCATCTTAAACTTTTATTTAAAAAAAAATTTTTTTTCTTCTTTCCTTTGTATATATACAAGATACCTTATGTATCAAATATCACAAAAAATTATGAAAGAGTAGGTAATAGTTACATATAAATGATATAATAATAAAATGAAATTAAAAATCTCGTTTGTTACAATTTAGTTAAAGTAGTTTTAAATTTTGGTCACAAATAAGTTTAAACACATATGTCACATAAAAATTTTTCCAAATTGCTAGAATTTCAAATTTTGTCAAACAAAAAACAGTTTGTGTTATTTTTATCTTATAAGTTGGCAAAAATTAAAGAATACTTTTCTTTTCACCTTCGAAAATATCTATTTTCAAATGTAGTTTATAAACATTTGTTCTAATTTTTATTTGTGAGCAAAAGATTAAAATATTACTGCAACAAAAGCATGGTGCATGAAATTTGTTTAACTAAGCATTAATAAAAGACATTTAAATGATATATTTCAATTATAAAGTTTATGGTAATATTTTTTTTTACAAAACTTGAATTTACAAAATAAAAATTTTTATAAATATATACATAAAAATATATTTAAAATTTTTGTTGTTGAATGAAAAACGACACATTCAGACGCGATTCTTACATCATTAGGTTTAAATATGAGGAACTATTAATCTTATTTCAACACAATTCTTATTAAACAATGGAGCGCTTTTCTGTACTTCAAAAATAGGAAACAGACTGAATTTCTTAAGTGATTGGATTTCTTTAAAAGTCACTTTTATTACTAAATTAGGGTTTAAAATGTAACTACTCATAATATTGCAATTTAAACATTTAACTTTATTTAGATGAATTAATTTAGTACTTTGAAATTATTATTCTTTTGAAAAGATATATTTATTTCAGATTTCAAAGTAATTGATGTTCGTAAGCTTTTTCACTTTTCAGAAAACAGAGATAACATTAAATAAAAATCTCACTTATATCTTTTTAAGGCAAACTTAACACGCTAAAATTGATTTGAATAATTAACATTGTCTCCTTTAAGTCATGCTTGGTTTAGTTGATACAGTTATTCAAATTCTTAACAGATAATTTTAAGCAGATATTAAGGAATATATTTTTAACTACGTTTTTAACCAGAATGTAAAGTTTATGAAAAAATCATCAATAACAATAAAAAACAATTTTACAAAATACTTCATTAATCCAGATTATTTAGTTGTTTTAATTCCTGTTCCTTACATCTAATTAAATACAAATTTTTATCATTTAAACGTACTACATTTTTATTTCTGAACTTTATTCGTGACTCGTTTGTTTAACCTTTTCTAAATTAAACTTATTGACAATTACGAAAAAAACATTGTCAGTCTAAAGTATAAAAGTAAATAAATAAAAAATCAGTACTTATTAAAAAATTTCTTGGAATCTTGGATTTCATAAAATTTAGTACCGACATAAATTTTTCAAAAAATTCATGTTTTTTTCAAGTGTATATTTTAATGCTTTAAAGGGATATTTGACCTGTAAAGTGAAAAAAGTCAATATTTATTTCTTTAAACTTATAAAAAATTTATTTAGTAAATTTCATGAATAATTTGGCTTAATTTTAAAATAAAAATTTAGAGAAGATCCTAAAATTTGCATTAATATTTGTAATTTAAATCCTAATATTTGCATAAAAATATGTAACATGAGAAAATATAATATTTTATTGTTTCTAACATACTAATTCAGGCATATGGAAAGCTAGAAAGTTCACAACACTTCTTTAAAATGTATGTTCAATTTATTATGAATACGTAATCGAGAAAGTTCTACTTTACAACCCAATTAGTTAGACCCAGATTAAAAAGGAAAAAAAGCATTATTTTTACGCAATTAATTTTTTTATGTACATAACCTACACATATATATTGTTCAATCTTTTCCAATATAAAATGTAAGTGCATTTTCATATATCAAACATAAAATTTATATAAAAATCATACATAAAAGAAATTTATAAAAAAAATCATGTTTAAAAGTAATGCAATAAAGATAAACAGAATTGAATAACATGTTATAATGTAAAAAGTGTTTGATTTAATTTGTTTATAATATCAACCGTTTTCAACTTTATTTTTTAAATATTTCTTAATAACTAAATGTAATTTATTAACTTATTATTCGTTTTGAGAATAATAAATTCAAAAAAACATGTAATGTCACAATTTGTGAACCACTTATGCATATGAATGTATAAACTATTAACTTTTTTCAGAAATAATAGATTTTTCAAAATTAAGATATGCAAAGAATAATTTTAAAAAGAAAAATTGCTTTTCTCAGTTAATACAAGTGTTTAAAAGTTACATGCATTCATTTTAACGTTTCTGCATTTGAAAGATGTCAATGAAGTATTTTAATTTAATTTTTATAAACATCTAGCGCGTTCGCACAAAATCTCGCAACACCATTTTACAAGATTTAAGAAGAAAAAAAAAAACAATTTAGACCGAGAAATGTTTTTGAAACGTGACCTTGTTCAATTTTTTGTTTGCAATGCAGTATTGTTGGGATGTTTTTCTTACGTTTGAAAAATTTCGAGGATCTTGGACATCGATGAAGGTATGTATTGGTTTAAGCATTTTTATTCAACCCCATTTCATTCTATTTTTTAATTATAAGTAAACCATTACATTAACGCTATGGTGCAATTAATGCTTTTAAAATCTCATAATGTTTTGAATGCTTCACAATTATGATACACTTCTCAGAAAATTTTTAAAAAAATTTGACATGCTCGTGAAGGTTTGTATGTTTCAAATATGTAATAAAATTTGTATACCTTTCTTCCAATGATAAGTAAGTCGTAAGAAAACAATCCATACAGCTGAGGCAAAAAGTTTGGACCAACAAGTGCACGTGAAAACAAAATTTTTATCTAATCTTTTCAATATTAGTCAAAGCATTAGAGAAAAGTTATTAGACAATTAAAGAAGATTATTAGATTTATTATTAGAGAAATTGAGACTCTCTGGAACATTTTTTATTCGATTTTAAATATTCAATTTAATGACTATTTTTTTGTATTACTGATTTAAAATTATATACATATATATCAACTACTATAACGTATAGTTAAGTTATAGTTAATAAAAGTATCTAAGACTCATAGTGGTATTCAGATCTCATAGTGAGTTATAGTTAATAAAAGTATCTCAGACTCATAGTGGTATTCAGATCTTATAGTGAGTTATAGTTAATAAAAGTATCTCAGACTCATAGTGGTACTCAGATCTCATAGTGAGTTATAGTTAATAAAAGTATCTCAGACACATTATTCTTAAGTATCTCAGACACAGTCTATTAAGTAAGGTTAAATAATCTAAATTCTTCGACCCATTATCATATTTTTTTTCGATTTCAAACATATCTGGTTTAATGATTACTTTTTGTATAGTTGATTTAAAATAATCTATGTATCAGCCACTATAACGTACAGTTAACCTTCAGCAAAAGTATCTCAGACGCGTTAGAACTTCATTCACTGATCCAGGAAAAGAATAAAGAATCTTGGATCTTTTCCAAAAGAAAACGATCGTGGCTTTCAAATCGTGCGATTTATTTGATGAACGAGGGTAGGGCACCACCGCAGATGGCCCACCAAGTCCCGGGAAACACTCTTCGCATTCTAGCCACCACCCGGACCAGTTTATAACGAAAAAAAAAAACATCTTAAAATTAACCTTATGAAAGAGAGTACATCGTGATAACATCTTGACAAGATTGTATTGCCGTGCGGGGCTGTTTGCACATCGTGCGGGATGGTAACGTTGGTGATTTCCATGCGAGAAACATGTAAATGTTATGCTTTTGTTCCATTCCGCAATAATGGATATAGAATCTATTGCGGCTATTGGTATTAACAATGATTAAACACATAGATACTGATACCATAATAAGAAACTGTGTTTAATCTTTTAACCTTGGTTGTTGTAGGCAATCTTCTTATTTTTTTATTTGAAGATTGCGTCTTGAATTTGCATGATCAACAATAAATCATATTAAAATAGATTGCACTCAATTTATCATGTGCTGCTTTTTTGTTATTTTTTTGTAGCTTGAAGATATAATTCAATTTTGACTAATTGGTGTGGTTGACTAAATGATCGCAACATGATAATGCAGAAGTAGCACCTTTTAAAAATATTAACTCTTTGGAATCTATTATTCAAGGACGCATAATTTTGAATTAAATGTTCATTGAGTTTTTTTTCCTTGGAGGACACTACGTACAGTAAAATATTGTTTTATTCCACATTTAAAAGTAATAACTATATCACTTTTAAATTCTGTGAAGTTTTTTTTTCTGTGTCCTTTAACTTAGGATATGAATAGTGTCTTAAATTCTATCAACCATATGCATCTTTGGTGCAATTTTTAATTACTAGTTGATAATCACATAAATTTAAAATGTAATATAAATGTAAAAAATTAATAACTATTACATTTTTATCGTTTAAATATCTATTTTTTCTTCAATTTTACTTTACGCTGATAATAAATAAGCATTGATTGTTAACCATCAAGAAATATGATAATTTATGTTTATGGAATACATGATAAATCATTGTTTCGTATACATGAAGAAAAAACAATTAAATTGGCAGCGAAATTTTTTTTCCGTGCTCATCGCCATAAATTATGATAATTTCTTTATAAAAAGTAATAAGGCAAATGAGTGTTAATTAAGATGACAACGGTGCACAAAGTGAAAAAGGTTTTCGTAAATTGTTTGATACTATAGGAGATACTTGAAAAAGATTTTCAAAAGAAGTGATAATAAAAACAGCCTAAAACACACATAATATTAT